GGTGAAGTCCATCTCCTGACCTTAAGAAGCTATACACAGACACCAAATCTTTGCTGCCTGAGGTGCCCGCCCAATAGGGGGCAGGTGCAGGTTGGAGAATTCTGTTCCTTTGTTGGCCAGCAGAGGGCACTGCAGGACAGGCAGCCTCCTGAGCATCCTTAGCCCTGGCAGGTTCTTTATGGGGGAAAAACACCTTAGATTCATTAGCCATACGTCCCAAATGGGACAAATGGGAGGGTCCTTCCTTCCATAAAGCCACATTTATGACTGTGAGATTAAGGTTGAGTACCTGAATGCTGAGCTCTCTTTGGATCACAGGAAATAAACGTAGAAGCTGTCACCCAAGGGTCCTTGTGGAAACCTGGTCACCTGTGCTGGAGCTGCCGAGGAGGCCTGGCTGGGATGGAGCTGGGATCAGAGGCTTCCAGGAGCCGTGCAATGAGGCGATGCCTCTGTCCCCAATCCCTCGGGGTGGCAGGGAAGCTGCAGAAATTCCCTGGGATGCACTGGGAGGGAACTCCCACCACTCCCCACAGATGGAGGCTAGCCTAAGGGAGGGACAGAGGCTCGGAAAGGGAAGGGCACAGAAAGCTTATCATATCCCATTTCTAGGGAGTGCTGTCAGCCAGGGCGGACCCCCAGGGCTTTCTCCATGAGGTGGCAGCCTCAGCATTCCAGCCTGCAAGGGGGACCACTGCCCACTAACACCACAGCCAGTGGCCAGGGCCACAGAAGAACCCCAAGGAGGGGACTTGGCAGGGACTGGCCTTCCTGCATGAGTGGGTGGGACCCTGGAGGGGCTGTTGGCTACTGAGACCAGGGAGACCATGCTGCCATCCGGACAAGTGGGCCTGGACTGTTGGGAAGTGGGTGTGTAAGTAACAATAACTCGCCTTTTGTTCTCATTGGAAGCTCACTGTGTACCTGGTGCTGTTCATGAATTAACTCACGCAGTCCCGTCAAAGGCCTGTAAGACAAGGTGCTGTCAACACCCTCACTTTGCACATCAGTAAAATGAGGCACAGCACATTTAAGTAACCTGCCGAAGGTGGCACAGCCAGGAAGTGACTTTGATACAGAAATTGTCATACAGCATGATGCAATGCGTGTATTTGGGGGATCCAACATATATCATGTTATTGTGACGCCCTTATTCCACAGGGCCCTGGGAAGGTCGAGATGGTCCTGTGGCCTTTCCTCCTCCTTATTTAGGCAAAAGGGGTGTCAACAGAAGGGCTACTCCCCTGAACCCTTGAAGCAACAGCCAGAGGTATTTATGTGTATGAAGGGGGATCCCCCCAAAACCAGAATTACCGTATTTTTCAGACTATAAGATGGACCCCCAATTTGGGAGAAATAATGGTTTTTAATGCTGCTGTTGAGTTCTGTTTACATTGACATTGGTGAAATATTGTGTTATTTATGTTATTAAATATTTTACATTTTTTGCTTCAAAAATTTTTTTCCTATTTTCCTCCTCTAAAACCTAGGGGAGTCTTATGGTCTGAAAAAATACACTATCTTCTGGAGGGCAGGCCCTGGTAATACAGGCTTCCCCCACTAGGGGGGGGGTGTACTAGGAACCCATCTGTATCAGCGTACCAGCTGGTGTTGTTGTGAGAGGCTGTGTTTGGCTTCAGTAATTTTTTTAAAGACTTTTTGAATGCATGTGCCCATTTCATGATGGGCGGTCTGTGAGTGCAACTGCCCGTACTGTACTGTGTTCAGCAGCTTTTCACCAAAAACGGCATGACCCCTAGGCCCTACCCTCCCTATTCACCTGATCTCACCCTGAGGGAGTTTTTTGTGTGTCCCTGGATGGAAAAAGTCCTCAAAGGAAAACATTTTGCTGATGTCAGAGTGGTGAAATAAAAAGTGGCAGAAGTACTAAAAGTCATCAAAGTCGAGTAGTTCAAAGGCTGTTTTGTGCAATGGAAAAAAGTCTCGTTGGTGTACTGCATAAAATGGAGAGCACTTTGAAGGTGACTAACGTTTAAACATGTAAGAATAAATACACAACTTCTTATAAATAAGTTCTGGGTTTTGGGGCCCCTATATGTATCACAACTCCAAAATGCATATCATATTACAGATAGGTATCACGATTACCTGTAATGAGAATGCAATAGCTCCCTATTCTTCACAGACTCCCTAGTTCCAAATTCACCGACCCACTGACACTCACTTGCCCCTCCCAGAGCTGCGTCTGTCTGTGGTCGTCAGCTGATGTGCGATTGTGCAGAGAAGTGAAAACTCGAGGTCCAGCCGGCGACCCTCTGCCTCCTGGTCTCTGCTCTTCCACTGTAAACGCGTCTCTGTTCATAGCCTATTCAGTGTCACCTTTTTGGCATTCTTGTACTTTTTGATGGTGGTTTTGCCATTTAAATGGCACAGCAGCCAAGGGTTCTCTGTTGTCCTCAGGGCAAGAAGGCTGTGACATTTCTCAGAGACAGCAGGGTTGCGAGACCAGCTGGCTGTGGAGCGGGTTGCAGCACCGTTGGCTGTGAGCTCCATGTTAGTGAATGGATAATACGTATTAAATAAGCTTTCTGTCAACAGAAACATGCATCCAGCCACATCACATGTGGACGGGTTGATGAGATCCGTCCAGACGCTGCTTGGAGCCCGGCCCTGCTTTTCCCCCACTGGCAGGGGCTCCGTATTTGCCTACACAGTGCTGGTGGCTTTCTAGAACAAAGCCACCTCGGGAAATGAGAACTGACTACATTCAGTCTGCGGTGGACGTGCAGTGAATGGAACAAGTGAGTACACGGCCTCGGGACGCACCCACCTCCTGAACACAGCCACGCCGCCCTTGTGCCACGTGGAAGAGGCTTTTGCACAGGGGCCACAGAGCGGCCCTGCGTGGTGTCAGGACAAGAGGGGCAGACAAGCTCCCTGGCCCAGACTCACCACTGGTGGCCCACTGGGCACCAGGGAGCCCACGGACTTTCACTGTGATTCCCACCGCACCCAGCTTGGAAGGTAGGTATTCCCCACACTTACAAACAGGGCAGCTGAAAATCTGAGCAATAAGAGAAGCTCCCCAATGTCACAACCTGGGTATCACCCCCCTCTCACTGTAATGTCCACTCCGCCAATGTGCTGCCCTGTCCCCTCTCCTGTGACTGCTTCTACGCAATTACCTGAACCAGCGATCAAAGGCCTGGATGAACCTCAGGAGCCAGGAGACAATGAGGGGCCTTCCGCCTGCCCCAGCTCCTAACGGGACTCTCCACCAAGCCTCACCCTCCTGCACCATCAGCAGTGTGTCTGCCGGAGCCCGGCAGTGACTGGGGACGCCTCTGAAGGGACAGGGGTGGAGGAAAGGGAAGCGGGAACAGTCAGGGGAGACGGGAAGTAACTCATCCCTGGAGGAAAAGGAGGGGAAGGAACGGGATAGGAAGACAGACAGAAGGACAAAGAAAAGTCCGCATTTCTGCTGGGAAAGGGTTAGCATGTCACCAACCATTGCTCCGGGGGCAGTGAGGACCCTCTGGTGGCCCATCTAGAGGAGGAAGACAGAGGGACAGCGCAATCCAAGCCATACCGGATGCACAGCAGTGAACTGCCATCGGTGGCTCTGGAGGAACAAGGGTTACAATATCTGGAACAAGGACCCCAAGCCCACAGCAAATGCCGCTGAAATCCCCTAACGCCCCACTCAGTCCTCAGAAGGGCAGTGCAGGAACCAGCTCAGCAATGAGGGTGCTGATGCTCCCTGCGCAGGGAGTCCCGAGGCAGGAAGTGGGAAGGGCCCGGGGCCAGAGAAGAGAATTTTGAGGCAATGGCTGCAGTGTGGGCACCCAGAGGTCACTGCCGAGTGGCCCTCACTCAGCCTGAGAGCAACAGGTCTGTGGACCAGAAAATGCCCAAGGGCCACACAAAACCAGGGGCTGCCACCGAACCCAGCGGGCAAGACAGCCACGTGCCAGTTCCGGGAGCAGAAGCGCCGGAGGACTCTCGGCCCTGGGGTGTTGGGAGGGACATGGCTTTGCCCTGGGTGTGGCCAGCCTGGCTGAGTCTGGAACACGCAAACTACACCGTGTGAACTGTGGTGAAATGGGAGAGGCCACCAAAGCGGGCCCAGTCGCTTCCCTGAAGAAACACTTTTCAAAATCCCCACTTTCCAAAGCAGTCGGTGCCCCCGGTCCCTCTGCCCACTCAGGAAGGGGAGGCCGTGGGCTTCCAAGGTGAGGGTGGGGTAAGGCGCACTAAGCCTGTGGGCTCAGCTGGAGCACGTGTCAGGAGCAGGTAGAAGCTGCAGACAGACAGGTGCACTGCGGCCCCACGCTGGCCCCTTCCCGTAGACATGAAACACCTGTCTGCTACCACCTGCCCATTCGCTGGCGGGAGGACCTCGGTGGGAGCTGGTGTGTTGGTGTGTCCCCTCCTCCTGCTCCCAGGGGGATAACAAAAGACAAGGAAGCAAACTCCGAGGCAGGGGGCAAACAAACTCCAGGTGTTGGCGGCCAGCCCAGCCTCAGCCCCTCCCAATGCCCTTCGGGAAAGGGGCCTGGCGCTCAGCTCCAAAGCAGGTGGTCTGCCATGCATTTGGTCAAAGCGATGTGATTTCATCGTTTCAGTCTGAAACTGCAGGTTACTGCAAGAGCTGTGAGGGCTGAAGCCATCTGAGTGAGTGTGGCAGCGAGTGGGTGGGCGCAGGCGTTGCAAAGAGGGGTGGAATCCGACATTCACTTACCCGAGATACTTGATTGCCGCTAGAGTCGCTGCACCTATCTGTGAATCGCCACTCTTACGGCAAATGAAAGAGCATTAAAACCACACGCACAACTCACACATGCACACACAACGGTGTCTCCAGCTCTGTGTCAATGAAGCCGACGTAAAATTGAGCAGGTTTTAAGGATTTTCTTTATTTCAAGACACCGAATGTTAAACCATCGAATGGGATAAATAGTGACTATGAAAACCCAGGAAGTCAGGAAGCTGAGCCGGGAAACTGACAAGTGGGTGTGCTCTGGTTTGGTGTCAGAGCATCCAGGAGCTGGCAGGTCCTCTGGAGCCTCTGCCTCTTAATAATGACAGTCTAGAAATGGAAAATGCGAGCCGGTTGGTGGGAGGTCAGGGAGCCCAGGGGCCCGAGCAAACGGTGCTCTGAGCCACCTGACAACAAGCCAGCTGCCAGGCTGTGCCCATTGAGGAAGGAGCCCCCTCCCAGGACAAATGCCCAGGGCTGGGGCTTCCTCAGGGAGGGGGACGTTGTCCACGTAGACCCTCAGGTCCCACTTGGAAACTTCTGCAAGTGGAAGCTGTGCCTTCACGGGTCAGTGCCTTGCCCCCACTGTTTGGAAAATGCCTGCTTTTCCTTTATTTTGCCCAACTCAGTGTCTGGAGACACCTGTGATGGAGGGGCTGGGGAGGGGACTGGACCCCCCCAGCACTGGCCCTAAAGCAGGACGCTGTGGGCAGAAGCTGTTATGCTGGTCACATGGGAGAGGACAGGGAGGTCCCCAAGAGAAGAAGCCACATCTGTGGGCTTTGTTCTGGGCCCCATCCCCAGCACCCAACACAGCGGTGGCATTTAGGGGGACCCCCACACGGTGACTGAACTAGAGTGGAATGGGAGAGGCCACCAAAGTGGGCCAAGATCCTGGGGTGTGGCTGGCAACACGATGCTTTCAAACCATCGTAAAGACGCATGATGCTGTGTGGCTTTGAACGTATCTAAAGGAAGCCGCCACTGGTGAGCACACTCTGGAATCGCCTTCAGAGCTGGTTCACAATAAAGGCAGGCTCACTGATCAGTGTGCTTGTTTCCTGAAACGGCGACCCCAGGTTCAGGAGCCCTGACCTCTGTGGCATTCAGGTTCGAAGTCCAGCCCGGGGCCCTCCCCGCCCCGGCTCCCACCTTCCCTGAGAAGCCCTCTGTGTGCAGTGGGCACCAGGTGGGGGTTCGGCCGCGTGACGTTACCTTGCACAGACTTCGGGAAGAAGCACCAGGGCACCTGCGGGATGTCGTCGGAAAAGCAGCACTTTCGAGAGGCGCACTCCTCGGGGCTGATGCCCGGGTAGCCACAGTCACTGCGGACCAAGACTTCCATGACACACTCCTCTGACTCTGGTCACCGTCACCGGGTTTGGGAGAGAATGCGGGGACTCCGTTAGGCCCGCTACAGTTACCTAGAGACTTCTGTCCCCATCCTCCCCAGGGAGCACTGCCGGATCTACAGCCGGGGCGTGACACCCGTGGATGGCAGACGTGTGGCCACCAGCGACTGGCCACCCCTTCTTCCCCACAGGTGGCACAAGTCAGAAGGTCTAAAGTCCTGGGGTCTCGAGAAACTCATTCCTCCTCTCTGGACTCAACGTCCCCCTCTGTAAAATGGGGTGGCCCACCAGGCCACAGTGAGACAAGGTGGCAAGTGACATGTAAGATTACAGAGCATTCAGCCCAAGTGTTTGACCCCACAGCACTTCCCCTGGAGGGACAGCCCTGGCCAACCCCCAGCCTCAGAGCCGGGAGCCTCCTGCTCAGTCCCAGGGCGTGTGGACGGGAGGCTGTGGGCACTGAGTTCCAGACCCACCGGTGTGCTTCCCACACACCAGGATTTTCTGTGCATGCCTTGGACTGAACAACCTACTCCCATGGTCACAGGCGCTCAGAGAAGGCAACCCTAGACGTCTTAACTTCTTCACCCCGGAGGCCTGTGAGCTGCCAGGTTGCTGATGTCCTACGAAACGCCCCCTCAGGGGCCACACTCTCACAGGTAGGCAGGGCCTGAGGGTCGTTTCCTCTCCCAGTACAGGAAGACGGGGTCTGTCCGTACATGGGGCCTCGGACCTGTCTGCCAAAAGGAACAGTGGGCCTGCACTTGGGCCTCCGTGGTGGACACAGGGCGAGGGGGCACTCTCTCTTCCCTCTGGTGGCCCTGGGCACCTGTCCTCAAACACTGTTAGCTGGGTCCTGGGCTGGCAGCCGAGGGCACAGAGAGTGGAGCTCTCCTGCCGGTTACCTTGCTTCGGGAGGGGGTTGAAGCACCAGGGGATCCCGGGGATGGTGGTGTCAAAGCAGCACCCGGCGTCAAAGCACTGGTCGCTGGTGATGCCGGGGAAGCCGCAGTTCTTCCGGTTCTGGGGGCTAATCCGTGAGCACTGGCAGGGCACTGGGGAGACACCTGGGTCAGCTCTCCCCTCCCTGCACCCCCTGCTCACAGGGGCATGCTTAGGACCCCTTTGCTGCCCATACAGGGAAATGTGAAGACTTATCTCACCCATATTGATGGGGCTTTGCTGAAACGGTTTTATTAATAAGATAAATAAGTAAGTAAATAAATAAATAACCTCCTAGAGAGAGATGGACAGATGGACCCAGGTAGCGGTCAGGTGAGAGACGATCGGGGCCAGGCCCCAAGGAGCCCCTGGTGGGGCCTCCTCCCAGTCCCTCTCCTCAAGCTGGCCTCCCAGCTCCTGTGGTCATTCTGAACTTGAACCAGAGGGAGGCCTTTCTTGGAGGTCACGCGGACCCCAGGAGTCCTCCCAGAATAGCAGGGAAGCAAGTGCAAGCATAAATCGGGGGGCTGGCTCTGTGGCCAAGGCCACCAGTCTCAGGATGCCTTTCCCACTGCTTCCTCCCTCAAGTTCACTCATAGACCTACCTTTTCCCTTGAGAGAAACAAACAAGAATGGACACCCACCAAAGGGAACTTCCACACCCCCACTGTGTTCGGGGCACTGGAAGGTTCTCCAGGCTCACTGGCCCAGAGGCTTCACCACCCAGTTGTGAGCACTGAGCCCCGGAGGGTCCCTTAGAAATACTCACAAGGTTTCTCAGCCTCCGCCAGCACACACAGGCCCAGGACAAGGACTGCCATCAGGAGCCGGGTGCCTGCCATGTCCAAGTTCAGCTGCACCCAGGGGCGCCTGCAAAATGCAGGGTTCCCACTGCCGGTGGGGGTTTTATCATCTTCTCTCTGTTTGCTCAGCAAGCGGAGATAACCTTCCTCTCCCGCCCTGGCCCCAACACTTCGATCCTTTGTTGGAAAGGGGCTGAGACAGCTGAGCCAGCAGACAGAAGGCCACGCAGGCAGGCTTCCGGGCCAGGAGCTGTGCTCCCTGGGCACCCACGAGGCCACCCCTGCCTGGGCTGAGGGTGGGGTGGAGTGCTGGCCACAGACACGCCTGGAGCTGGGTGCTCACAGCGTCACACCCAGGAAGGGATAAGCCATGTATTTCAACAGGTGACTACCACAGGATTAAAACATATATATATATTGGGCCCAAGGCTATCAGGGAAAATGATCAGGCCGGCTGTCAGCAGAGGAAGACCCCTGCTTCTGGAATGGGAGCATCTCCAAGGAGGACAGGAGACCCTCCTCCAGGGCTGCACGGGTAGGGGCTCTCCTGGCCCTTTGCCAGCACCTCCTTTCTCCATGTTGGGGAGGCGGCCTCTCTCTGTGGAGATGCATCTGACCAGGTGAAAGGAGGGGCCCAGAAGAGTGTAAAAATCAGCTCATTTTCTCTCCCATGGGAACTCTTCGCAGGTCCTAAAAGATGCCGCCTGCAAACCAGCTGTGCCTGGGGCAAGGTGCTCTGGGTAAGGGAGTCTGAGGACAGGACAGAAAGAGGGAGGAGAGAGCTGGAGGGGAGACACCCCACCAGAACACAAGGGATGGCCGGTGGGGAGGCCGGGAGGAGCTGTGAAGTTCCCCCCCACCAGAGGACTTACCAGGACTCGCCAATCTATCCCTCATTGGTTGAGCAGCCAGGGACCCAAGTGTTCAGGGAATCCAAACCCTGGGTCCTCAGGGCCTCTGGGGGTCCAGCTAGCACATCTCCAGACGAGCTCCTTGACTGTCCTCTGTGTAGAACCAACGGGACTCCATCTCTGAAAACCACGCAAAGTCAGCTTTTCCTGCCCCATGTCCCTGTCGCCCTTTGTCACCACGAAGACATAATGCCCTGGATTATCTCTCCTCTCCTGGCTTCTCATCCCCTTTGTCCTCTCTGCTTCCTCTCCCTGCACCCGACTGCCCACTGTCCCCAGCCTGGCCCTTGCAGACGTCTAGCCAAAACCCCTGATGCGCACCCATGACACAGATCATCAGCCTCAGCCCCCGAGGCTCCCACCCTCCTCCGGCCCCAGCAGAAGTCTGTGTCTTCCCTGAGACGCTCCCTTGCATCCGCCGCAGGCAGAGATGCTCAGCGCCATCTTCCTGGGCACCAACCACCCATACACTGCTTCTGGGGCAAGTTAGAAAAAGACACATTTCTTCACAACAGGTTATTCTGCCTGTGAGGCATCCATTCCAGCAGATGTGGTGTCTGCCGCGTGAGCAGAGCCGTACACGGGCATGCATCTGCGCCTGTGTCGTCTATCCATGCTGCCTGACGTCACATGGGCTCAGGAAGGGGGCTGGACATTGACCTCGAGCCCTGCTCAACCCCATTGACCCTGAGCTCTGTCCTCACTCAAAAACCATGCTCCTTGGAGATGCGGGCTGTGAACCATCCCACTTCCCACGCCTGTCAGCTGCAGAGATTCCTCCCGTCTCCTTGTTAGAAAATCTTTAGAGTCTTAAAAATAAATTTGATCTGCAAGTAAATCAACTGCCTGACAGAACGAAACTTCGCATTTGTTGAGGAAGACAGCAAAATCCAGACACACAAAAATGTTCAACACAAAACCGAAATTCACTCATGGTGTGAAGAAGCGTGACCCATTAGAAAAATTGGTGAGTAGGAACAGACCCAGATTTTGCACTGAAGTGTTCAAATATTTCAAGGGAGACATAAAACGATGATGAGAAAAATGTTTAAATTTGAGTTAAAACATGGAACCTAACATTGAACCACATGGCAATTCTAGACATGAAAAAAATCAAAAATGAAAACTCCTCTGTATGGGCTTTCGACCAGGTGGTGACTGTGGAGGAAGGGGCTGGGTTACTGGACGACTGGAAGTCACTCACAAACCTGTTCTCCAAGGAGGTTGGAAGGCAGCCTTCAAGGCTGGAGCCACAGCGGTCCTCCCGTGCAGGGGCGAGCTCTCAGGGCCGCTGCGGCCGGGTCCCCCCGCCCCCCATCTGGATGTGTCTGGTTACGGCACCTGAGTGGCCTCCGTCAGCAGCTGCATTTACACCTGGACTAGTCCTTGTTACTTCTCACCTTGTTGGCTACACCTGTCTCTTAACTGGCCTCTCGTCCACAAATAATTCTGTCCCTCTCCAGACAGAAGTCAATTGCCTTAATTATCTTTATAAAACAAAAAATCTGGACATGCCCCTCTTATGCCACTCCCTTGCCTCTCACAGCCTGTGAGGTGCAAACCAGCTCTGAGCGTCCTGAGTAGGAAAAGCAAGACACTTTGTGAGCTGGGCCCGCGTGCCCCGTCAGCCTCTTCTGCAGCTGGGTGTCCCCCACGGAGCAGGCATGTCCCACCTGCCTGCACACGCCCTGACCTTGGAGCCCTTGCTCGTGTGTCCTCATCTCTCTCTCGGGGCTCTGCCTCCACTCTTCGTCTTGCTAACTCCTTTCCATGCTGTTGCTCTCAATCAGGAGTCACTTCTTCCAGGAAGACTTCCTTGACTTCCCTCAAAGAGGTGACAGGTGCCCTCCACCTCTCGCACAAGCACCCTTTGTTCACCTGATTCAGAACACCAGCCGAACCTACGTTTAAAGGAGATTTTTACTTTTCTGGTTTCTTTATTAATTGTACCGAAGGTACGAGCCAGCACTTACTGCAAGCTACCTTTGAGCCAGGTGGCCGACTACGGACTTCACACGCTAGGTTGCATTTAATCCTTACAGCAACGCAAAGGAAGGGCTGATGCTATTGCCCCGTCTGGTGGACTCCACAGAATAAGTGCAGGGTGAGACCAGAGCTGGGCCTGTGCCCGTGTCCCAGAACCAGACCCAGTGTCTGCACATCCTGGGCTTCCCCAATGAGTTGGGGGGGGGAACAGGGGGGACAGAGTGGAGAAGTGGACAACCCACACCCCGGGAGCTGAGAAATGGGAACTTTCCACCGCACGTGGCCCGCTACCCCGATCACTGATGGAACTCATAAAGTAACATGTAGACGTAGATGTACGACCATAACCAAGGCAAACCCCCTCACGCCTCTGGGGTACAGTGCCCTCGTTTGTTACGGGAGGTGGGGCGGGGCTTATTCAGTGTGCCCTGAAGTCTCTCGTGCCTCCTAAACCCCGAGCAGGACAAGATCTCATTTTTACACTAGCATCAGGTGAGAAGTATTTTTATTGCCAGCAGATGCAGGCCTAGTGCCCCCAAGTGTAGCAGAGGGGTGGGGGGGGACGCCACACGATCCCATTGCCTCCCCAGCTTTCCCCGTTTCTGGGGTGTGGCCGCACTGAGCCGCAGAGTGAGCAAATCACAGTCTCTGAGAGCCCAGACCAAGTTTATCTACTTAATAAGGAACGTGGCCAAAGTTAGGAGGAGACAGGAACAGGTGAACTAATGAAAACTAGTCAGCAGGGAATGAATTCCCTGCTGATGAGAATTTTGGTACAGAGTTTGGGAGGGAATGAAATTCAGGAATTCTTAGTGAGTTATATTTGGGAATAGAATTGGATGAATATAATGTGAGCACATTTGCAATGCGTCAATCAAAGTGATGCCTCCTTGTACTTCTTTGAGGGACTTTATTCAAGATTTGCCTTATTATAAGATGTCTCTTTGGTATCTGAATGTCTGCTTTGGTTTGTTTTACTTGACATCATGCTGAGAAAAGCCAAAATTTGGTGGATCTTAAAACTTCAAAATATTTAAATTATTTAGGTTACCATATGTCATAGTAGTGATAGGAGCTGGCAGACTATGGCCCATGGATTTGTTGCCTATTTATTTAAATAAAACTTTATTAGAACTCAGCCATGCCGATTTATTTACCCATTTGTTTATGGCTACTTCCACACTGTGATGGCCCAGTTAGCTGTGACCGAGACTGAATGGCCCACAAACCCTAAAACATTTACCATCTGGTCCTTTGAGAAACAACAAAATCTGCCTGCCCTTATATTATCATCTTAAAACTCTCTAAAAATAAACTTGAAATGCTTGAAAACTGTTGGGAGGCGATTTTGCATGCGCCCCTCGCATCTGCGCATGCCTCAGGAACTGTCCTTATGGTGGGGGACCTGAAATCAAGGTTCCGCGTTGAGTGTGCCTTGGCTTCGTTGAGCGGAGGGGGCCTGCCGGGCCTCCCCACCGACAAGGCCCCCAGCCGAACAGCCCTCCTTTGGGATTTCCTGCTGGCCCCTAAGTGGGGGGGGGGGGGGGGGGGTGTCTCACTTTCCGACCAGCCCACAGAATGATTCAAACAAGCCAACCACATCCCTCGTGGGAACCACGGGCACCCCACCCCCACCCCCGTGATACAGCAAAGCCCCCGCCCATAGACCCCGGGCTGTTCACTCCGTTCCTGAGTGCACCCCAGGTGGCCCGGCATGGCATGCGGTGTCCTCCTCTCCTAGGCTGTGAGTGAATGTGACTCACACGCTGGGGCGATCTACGGCCAGTGTTGACCGCCCCCATAACCCTGGGCGGATATATCCGCCCCGACCACCAATGAGACGAGGCGGAGGCCAGCGGAACAGTCCTCCGCCCCAGGCTCCCTTTTCAAGGAGGCCTGTGGCACAAACACGCTGAGAAAGCAGGTGTGGTGTCTGTGCCCGGAGCCGCGGGTGGGCGAGCTTACTGCCCCTTAAAAGATCCTCGTCCCCAAGGAGGTCAGCGTTCCTCTCCCGTAAGGCAACCTGCTGCACGTGCCAGCACTCGTTGGGGCCCGCCTGTGTCGCCCCAGGAGGACTTGGCGCAGGCACGAGGATGGCCTGCTGCTCGCAACACTGTGAGTATTCAACTCCTTCATCTCTGAGCCTGACCCGCCCGTCTTCCGCCCGCGTCCAGGAGGGAAACCATTAGCTTGCAAGTCGGGTAGATGCTGAGCTCTTCCAAGTCCTTGACAGTGATGAAGTAGAACAGATTAAATACAAAAATATCCCTTCCATGTTCCCCTTTAGCATAGATGTCCCCAACTAATCAGGTCCATTCAACCTCATTATACCTCAAGACGTTCATAGGTTTGTGTAGTTCTGCCTAACAATCTGTTTGCTGCCCCCAATGTCCAACTCAGAGCAATATTAAGAACCGAGAATAATTAAGAACACACAATACAGTGTATAGGCGATATATTATAGAGTTGTACACCTAAAACCTACACAAATTTGTTAACCAATGTCACCTCAATACACTCCATTAAAATTTTAAAAAATTTTAAAATAAAGAAAATACCTTTAAAATACCATAGTGCTATTTATCTTTCTGTTATTAACTATAATATTCTGTCTGCTCGGACCTTTAAATGGATGGCTATTCCCCGAGCTACTGACATTTAGGTCAAATATCTAACTGTTCCCTAACAGCCACTGATGTTTCCTACCAGACTCATAATTAGTGGTTATTTCCACAACCTGCCCCTCCCACTCTCCCGAAGAAAGGCAGGGAAGTTTTCTTAAGCTGACAGTATCCTTCTCTATGACCCTACAAATATGATCTTAACCCACAACTTGGCTTGGAGATTGGTTCCTGCCCTGATCTTTGGTTCAACAGTATCTGAACAGAACCCTATTGTGTGGGACAGGATCTCGCAGTAATAGTGACCTCCAAGTGCACCACCAGCCACAGAACAAGCACGTTCAAGGATCAAACTAGGATATTTAAGCCAGAGTTTATTAAATCAATCGACAGCCCAGAGTGAAAAGCACAGGGCAGGTCAACACTCCCTGTGGGTGCAGGTG